GCATTTGCTTTTCAGTACTTAGGTTGCACTCATACAGTCATATTAGGCGACTCGGGAGTAAAGGAGGATCGCCAACTAGACGTTCTAATAGAAGGTCCATTAAAAGTGTAGATGAAATTCGATGTATTCTGGCCGATAGATCTTCACAAGAATGGAGATTTCGCTGCCTTAGCGTTCAGACTCGTTCAGTCTTCGCGACAGTAGCGCCTCGGTCGCGAAGTCTGAACGCTGCCTGACTCTCCTTGAAGGTCGAGTCGCCAGGTCTCCTATTTTCCGAAACGCAAGTATGAAGTCGGCCTCAGGCCAAAAAGAATTCATTATGCCAAGGCAATTATTGTGCATCCGTATTTCAAATAGCGTTGATTTACCACGAACCTAACAGCTCTCGAGACCCTTACAGTTCTAAACCTCATCCCACAAACACTCAAACAACTCAAATAACTTGCCTGCAACAGCTCATCTAGAAGCAAAACGATAAGTCCAGCGATAACCAGCTGCACAACGATAAGCAAGCAAATTCCAGCTCCAATTTCAGCTGGATCGCCGTAAAGACCAGACATCACGTAGACAATGGCTTGTCCAACGGTGATCACCATACCGAACACTAAAACGCCGATAAAGTCAGTTGGGAAAAAGAAAAACAGCCTAAGAGAAGAAAGTCAAGAACAATGTTAGAACGATTTGCCTACATTTCTGCGCTCCGTTGAAAAGGGCGCGATCCTTCGGCGTATCTCCGACCTCGATAATCTTTGCACCAGCCAGCAATTGCATGATCAAACCGGATGTAACAATGGGTGAAATTCCCAGTTCCATCAATGTACCTCGATTAGACGCCAAAATAACTCGCAACCAGTAGAATGGATCAGCAGAATCAGTGGACATAATTCCTGAAATGAGAATAAGAAGGTATCTGCTGAAACAGTTCGTTCTTTAATACTATCACAGTCAGCATCACTTTCTTTCCAAAACCTCTCAGAGCTGCTTTCTACCTCGTCAGAAAAATCTGCATTTTTGAAGTCTGAGAATGTTCGTCTAGAGAACTTTCGTAGATACACAGGTTCAGAAAAAATAAAAAGGCTAAGAGGATAGAGTCTCCGCCGCTAAACTACCCATTTTTGGTATTCTGCTCCCATTCAGAAAGTAGTGGCTTACTGAATG